TATCATCTCTGCGGCCCAGAAATCATCCACTAGTTGCTTGCCCATCCTCATGTCACTTCAGTTCCAAGGTAACTGATTTGATGACGTACTCTGCAATTTTCTCCAGCTCGGCCTTTCCTTTTGTGCAAAAACCTCTTAGATATCTCTAGTGCCATTTCATATTCCTTTGGTGAAACTCAGAAACCCTTCTCTTATAGAATTTATATTCTAAAAATTCAGTTTCCATCTTCTTTGCTAGGCCTTTTGTAAGGCTTTAATAATGGAGCTGTGTACCTGGGCCTGGGGCTTGGAATCTGTTAAGGGTCCTGTTTATTGGTTTCCCTGTTAGTTAGTTAACTATCATGATTGCTACATAGATTTATTTTTGGATGTTTTTAATTACTTTAACTGCTTTACAGTTTTAAAGTTGTAAGTTACCCAAAGTCATTTGGCTGACATGGGCGGCTTTAGAAATTGAATGAATAGGTGAATAGAATAATATTATTGCCTGAAGTATTAAACTCTGTGGTTATGGTTCACCTGAAATTTCCTCTGTGTGAATTCTCATATCAGATATGTTCCAAGATATAAAGCAGTGTCCCAATATAAATTCAGGAGCTTTGAGATCATATTGGCTGCCAAAATGGTTGTTATTAGCCAAGGGCTTGCTAAAAGTTGTCAGATTAGATCTTAGCCTAAAAAATTGACCACATTTCCAAACACTTTTTTTTCTGCAATAGATATTCTTGCCAACTTTTCTTTTAAACTTCTGGAATCTTGATGGAATAAAATCCACTGTGACATTTCTCATACCTAATTTGATGACAAGCTCCTATCATGGCATGGTCTGCTACCTGTCTTTATTTCTGTCCTGATGTCTTTCAATACTTTCTCTTTTCTTTTCTTTTCTTTTCTTTTCTTTTCTTTTCCTTCCTTCCTTCCTTCCTCATTATTCTATATGGCCAAATGAAGTATAGAAGGAGGTTATAGTGAGGCAGCCTAGACAGGATCCAGGCAGTATTCTGAAGTCATATTCATCTGCACTGTCCCACTAGAGGTTGGGGACTTGTTGAATGGAGACAGAAGCAAAGCCAAAAGAGAATAACTGGCTTTGAAAACTAGCAACACAATTTGACAGTAACACAACAATTGGCTATAAAAACGGGCCACACAATTTTACACTATCTCAGAACTGATGTGGCATAGGCAAACTCCTATAGTTTCATTGCTTTGTGCCAACTCCAGGAGAAATAGAAGGTTCTTTCTCCATTATTGAATTTAAGAAGTCTCTATTCCTCCTTGAGTTTGCAGAAAATAAAGGCATCTTGGGATTCGCTGTCCCCTCTTGTCCCCTATTTCCATAATTGAGTTAAAGATTCAGAGAATAAAGTGACTATGATCTCTAAAAGCTTATGTTTGCCCTTAAGAGGTCAGAGATTATTTGTTACCTTGCTGGAAGAAATTAACATGGCTATCTTCTAAAGTTGGAAGAATTGATGTCTGCAAGTACTTATGGTAAAATTAAAGATGCTTTAGGCTCCTGCTGACTGGTTATGAAATGCACTCTCTTCCTGGTATATGGTTTATTTATTTATTTATTTTGTCAAGCAATTATAAGATAACAGGTATGTATAAACATAGTTATGGATACATGAAATGGATACATATAAGAAAAATAAAAAGAAACAATAGGACAGGGATGGTAGGCACATTGGTGTGCTTATGCATGCCCCCTACAGACCTCTTAGGAAAGGGGTGAGGTCAATAGTAAACAGTCTAAGGTTAAAGTTTTTGGGGAAGAAACCACAGAATCAGGTAGAGTATCCTAGACATTGACCACTGTTGCTGAAGTTGTATTTCCTGCAATCAAGTTTGGTGTGGTTTACCTTAAGGTTGTATCTATTGTGTGCTCTTGTATTGTTACGGTTGAAGCTGAGTATTCATTGACTGGTAGGACATTGCAATGTATAGTTTTATATATTATACTTAGATCAAATTGAAGGCGGCGCAGTTCTAGCTTTTCTAGGTCTAGAATTTCAAGTCTGGCGGCATAAGGTATTCTGCAACGAGCAGAGGAGTGGAGAACTCTTCTTGTGAAATATTTCTGGACTTTCTCAACTGTGTTAATATCAGATACGTAATGCGGGTTTCAGACTGATGAGTTGTATTCAAATATTGGTCTAGCAAATGTTTTGTATGCTCTTGTTAGTAGTGTGATATTACCAGAGAAAAAGCTATGTAGGATTAGGTTAACAATTCTTAATGCCTTCTTGGCTATGTAGTTACAGTGGGCTCTAGCACTTAGATCATTAGAGATGAGTATTCCAAGGTCCTTGACAGAGCTTGGATCATCAACAAGGTCTTGACTATTCAGCTTGTATTTTATTTTCTGATTTTTTTTTGCCAATATGTAAGACAGAGCATTTATTTGTTGAGATTTGAAGTTGCCATTTGTTTAACCATTCTGATATATAGTCGAGGTCTTTTTGAGGGGCAGCAGTATTGTCTGTGGTGTTGAATAGCTTTACAGCTCTTAATATGATCACAGAGGTCATTTATGTAGAGTGTGAAGAGAGTTGGTCCTAGAACACTGCCATGGGGGACACCACTGTTGACAGGTACAGAATTTGATAGGATACTCCCAATTTTGACTATTTGTTTTCTGTTTGACAGGAATGTTTCAATCCAGTTATGCAGGTGTCCAGAGATACCATAAGATTTTAGTTTTAGGAGTAGTTTGTCATGTACCACTGAATCAAAGGCTTTACAGAAGTCTATGTAGATTGCATCTATTGCTTTGCCCTGATCTTTCTTCCAGGGTGTTCTTTTTAAACTTCCTAGTTTAGCCAAGATTCTCAGGATTGTCAGATATTTGCTATCCATGGACCAACTGTGCAAAATTAAAACTAGCCAAGTTCAGATAGATACTGCTACCTATTGAGATTTTTTTCAGGCTGAGCTTGAGTCTTGGTTACTTTACATGGCACACTGTGTTCTTGACATTATAAAAACTGGTTTCCCATCTTCTTTTTGCAGCATGGTTTTTGACCTCTCAGTTTCGCTTTCACCTACAGTTTCCTTCAAATACCTGCAGGGCTGCTACATAGGAAAAAAAAAGCTTGCTGTCACAGAAAGTCCTATGGGATTCAGTTCTAGAAAGGCAGATACAGTTGAATGCTTGGAGAAATATCTTACTATTTAACAGTTTGACCAAGGAACAATTTTTGGGGAGGAGGTGGGTGAGTTCTCACTAGCTTTGTGCAACAAAGTTGTGTGTCACATGTTTTACAAGGCTTGCATCCAAGTTCCAACTGTATGTATTATGTACACAGAATAAGCATTCTGTGTTTTACCAAGGAAAATATCTCCATCCAAAATGAAGGCAGTTGGCTTAATGGATAAGTGAATGAAAGAATATGAATATTGAAAAACAAGATACTATTTTTTCTGCATGACTGGCATATAATAGTGAAAGCATGAGTAAGTATATGCAAGATACTGAAGAACAATATGTAAGTGAATGAGACACACAAAGAGACTCTGTCAGAGTAACAGGTACAGTATAAAACTTGGGAAATGTGATGGACAGGTAAACAATGCATGTCTATGGAGCATGAAATTGTGCAAGCATTTCCAAACATTTTAATTGTATCAGCAATCTTCACTGTAATGATAGTCTTCATCTATTTAAAAAAAATGCATCACTACAACTGGATTTGTATATTTTCCACTTTAAATGTTATCATATCACCCTTTAATAATTGGTGCAACAGAAGATTTCCCCACTTGTCTGACCGAGATTCAGGTCCATATTGCATTGAGAGTAGATTAGCTTGGTGAAAATTGACTTGGTGTCTGTATTGCCATCCTAATGTTTGTATCCTCATACTGTATACTGATAAAGCATTTGCAGGGGAATACAATTCTAGGACCCTTTGAAAGTAGAAGTTGTGGTCTCATCTGCTTCTTGGAAGCCAATAAGTTAACTGAACTTGCTGTTGTTTGTGATAGAACAACAGTTCTGTCTGTCTGGACTTACCATGAATCATGTTGGTCACAAGGAGTTAGAGCCAACAAGAAAAGATTAATTCTTCTTTTCCAATCATAAGGCAGGGTTATCTACAGATGTAGTCCCTACCAATAAAATCACGTATTGTTCAAAAACTACAAGAAGATCAATTTTATCGTTAAAACATCACTTCAATACAGTAAAGAAAACCAGAACACAAATATTGCAGATTCATATCCCATATACTATAAAATTATTTTGCATTGCTTAGGCATCATATAGATGGGACTGGGTCTGTCTTCTGGCAATCACAGTGGTGTTTCGCTGTAAATTCAGCTGTCTTAATCATTGAAAATTATACTGAGATATTTTAAAGCTAATGCTATAGGTAGGTCAGTGTTTTATAATACTTTCTGCTAGATTGTGCATCCAAAGGAAACTTCCACAGACAGGAATTTAGCTTGAGGGAGCCTTCGGACAAGTTCTTTAGAAAAAAAATTCTGCTGCCATTGCTGTGTATTATTGACATCTTGGATATGGGTGATGACAAAAAACTTGTGGTAATAGCTATGAGCTAGATATGAAAATGATCTATGTGCATGTGTGTCTAAATATGTTTGAAATCAGATTAACAGAGTTGGAAGGGACCTTGTAGGTCTTCTGTCTAGTCCAAATCCAGGTGGATTAAGTAAGACTTGGCCAGGTGAAGGGCTACATGGCCATTTTCCTGCAAAGGTAGACCTCCAGCCAATGGATGGGCATAGCGGAGACTACGAAGGTGTTGTGGAGGCAACACATTACGAGGTGGGATATATGCATGCGCGCAATCGTTATCTGACAGGTATGATGCCATCTACGGGATCTGTTGCGTTTTATCACTATGTGTGCGTGCGAACCAGTGGCGAAACTTGTGCAACGGTCGGCGTGGGCGTGCGGCGCGAAAAGAGGTTGCCTTCTGTGGGTCCTTCCTCCCTTTCTCCTCCACCCCCCTATCGGCGCGCAGCCCGCCCTTTATTAAAGTGGCGGGAACGGGCGGCGAGAAACTCTTGTCGTCGACTTTGGGCTTTGCCTCCAGTCTGGTTGCTGCTGCTGCTGTTGCTGCTGCTGGGCGAGAGGGACGCCAAACTCTTCGCCCGGGAACCCGAAGCCGAGGAAAGAGCCTCTCTTCTCTGACCGTCACGGTAGAGCAGCTTTCGCCGCCGACACGGAGACGGTCCGCCGAGGCTGGTAGCGCGCTTGCCCTCCTTTCTTCCTCAGGTGGCCGGGTAGGATTTTGACGGCAATAGAAAAGCTAGCGATTTGGGGCGAGAGCAACAGAATGGGGAAGCGGAGGGATGGATATGTGAAAGTTTGGTCTAAGTTTATTGAGCATGGTGGGATTATTATTATTTATTTTTGCGGGCAATCTCGCCCGGCTGGCACTCTTCCTGTCTTTGCGATCTAGTTGAGGTCTTTGAGAAGAGTTCCATAGGGGCATTTTGTTTTATTATACTGTCACATCATCCACCGCCGATACTAATGAAAAGTGAATGACGGACGGGGAGGGAAGGGTTGTAGGGAGGCGGTTTTTGAATAAAGAAAGCGCTTCTTCCCACACCATAAATAACCTAGGGAATTTGTTACCGCGTCCCCTAACTTGGATGGTTTAAAAAAAGGGGTGGTGGTGGTGGATAAATTCATGAAAATTCAGTATCACCTGTGGGTCTGGGGCTAAATATCAACTGCAAGGGAATAGCGGCGGGAGTGGGAGTACAGTATGTCACTGTCTCCTGCCTAGTTAATTGTAAATTTAACATTGGGAGCATCGGATTGGCCACTCTGCAAAAATGCCTTAAATTCAGCCTATTCGTATGTCTTTAATGACTAAAAGTATATAAGCATGCTAATTTGCAATTAAGGGCAGCATTTATAAATGCTGGACTGAAGTTCCCAACAGTGTAATGGATATCTAAACAGGAGAATTAGGAATAGAGTAGAGAATGAAAGGGTCAAATGATTGTTTTAGCAGAAGAGAGTCATGGAGGTGTGATATGGTAACATTTAACTGTTTGAATAGCTATAATGCATAAGACATTGCAGGGTTGAAATATAGAAAAAGAGACTGTTGAATATGTGGGGAAATTGCTTAACAATATAAGTTAAAACTGCCTCCAAAGGTGGTAGATTCTCCTTTGCTTGAAAGTGCTGAAGCAATGTCAGAATGGCAATCTGTTAAGGGTTGAATCATTTCCCCCTTGTCCTGGGATTGTACCAAATGAACTGAAAAAAAATCTATTCCAGATCTAAAATGTTATGATTTTTCATGAATGCCCAATAATGGCATACCTGGTCTGATACTTTGGGCCAGATTAAGATTGGTAGCAACTGTCCTTCTGCTTGATAGCATAAGAGACAAACATTTAGAGAGACTGGCAGTGAGCACTGATGCGCTTGCCTCTTCCTGGCCAGTCCCTTCCTAACCCTACTTAGAATTTAGTTATGCTGAGTCCACAATAGTGGTGGTGAATGGCTGCTCAAGTTTTGAAAGTCCTGCTGTTTTAATTCAGATGCTTCCACAGATTTCATGCATTTAAGAATAATTTTACAAGGCACACTAGCTATGTTCCTTAAAACACTGTATCTTTCATACCCGTGCAAAATAGGATGACTAAATGGAGTTATTTGATTAAAATGATTTCATAATATTCTGGTCTCAATTTTATCTATGCATGTGCTATTCCCAGTATGCAAAATTAAAATCCAAAATACTATTTGAGATTGATTGTATTAGATAATTAATGTAAACAAAGTGCCATAGATTAGATTAAAACAATTCAAAGTAAAACAAAACTGCAATAAAATCTCTGCCAAATCTTCATGTATACCTTGATAAGGTACCATGGAAAATACTGAGCTATCACTGCTATTGGTAGTATTTAAAGCAGCTACAAGCACTATATGACTGAGGTGCAATTAAATGTTGCAGTGCAAATATGAACAAGCAAAAGCTTAGGTGTGGAAAAGTAGATGAATGAAAAATCTAATAGCACATTTGTTTTATATGGCATTATAGTCTTAATATAAGCAAAGTCTGTCCAAATGTATTCACAGAATGACAGAACTGAAATTAAAATACAGGAGTTTTGCTTAAATAAATGTAAGAGAACTTCATGGGCCTTTGCTGTTATATTATTTGTATGAATACTGTACAAGTCACGCAATTAAAAAGTTTATGTGCATGTTAAGAAAAGTCACACATATATTATTTTAAATTAGAATTGGTGGTTATAAATGTGATCCTTAACTTATTCATCCAGCCTACGAGCTTCCCTTTTGTTAGATTTCAAAAGTACTTACTATTCATATGTAAAACATATGAAAAGGATCAAAATCTCTAAGAAATTTAAATGCAATTTGAAAACCAAAGATTTATTGCAAACATCCAAGTCACACTTTAAAACAAGTTTAAAAAGCTAACTATGGAGTTAAAAGAGTTCTAAAACACAACTGTGAACAGAAAAGTGTACGTACAAGAAGTTAAAAGGCCAAAAGGCGGACAGATTCTTTCTTTGTAGAATGCATCAGATGAACCTGAAGTATGCATTCATAGAATTCATACATTCTATATAGGAAAGTTGGTGATACTATGTGTGAAAAGTTGTTTGTATTTATTTCCTGCTCTCCTAAGGCAAACCTAATACCATTTTAGGAGCCACCACCAAACATATAGCTTGTTTGAATGTATTTTCTTTTGCACATTTATTAAAGCAGAAAAAAAACACTATTGAAATATATCTGAATTATAAGGATATCTGGATTATAGTCAAGATATATTATTAAAGATATATCTATATCTGTGAATGACCATAACATCAGTATATCAAAAGTAATGGAAAAGGTTTTGCTTCTATGAATATAAAATAGCAGTAATCTTGATTATAAATCTAGAGTGTAACGTTTATAAGGATTAAACTAGTAGATAATTAGCTGATTAAAGCCCATTGGACAGAACTGCAGCAAAAGTGAATAGTTCTTCACCTACAGCTTGAAAGTCATTGAGTGATCCTAGGTTGTAAGTTTTGTTGATTAGGAAAGAATTAACTCTATAAAAGATTGCTTGTATCATCTTTCCATATATCCCCACTGTTGGAAATCGTTATGACAACCTTTATATATAAGACATAAATGCCTATTATCAGACAGAACAAAGAAACAAAGACTTTCATATAGGAGGCTGCACAAAATCTGAAAATTTAAAATGTTATACCATAAACTTTGGGTATGATTTTTTTTATTTATAGCACACAGAATTAATATAAACTGTGGCTTGACTGTGACAAGCTAAGTGATGTATGCCAATAACAAAGAAAGTGAATTAAAGGTAGAATTCCCAGCATTTTATCTCAGAAAACCTATGTTAGCTTTCTTAACTATAACACAGGCAGCCAGTTAGTAAATTTGAGAGTACTTACTGCAAGAGAATGAAAAAATGATTGAGAACATGATGATGAGGAGGAGAGGACTGTTGTTATTATTATTTAAAAACTTAAAATGGTTCTCACAAGAGTAGCTATCATCAACTAGAGCCATAAACTGGAGTAGCAGAATATTATAAAGAAGGAAAAAGACAAGCCAAGATCACCTATTTCCCCACCCCTCCAATAAGACCCTCACCTAACTCTTCTTTAGACAATGGCTCAATTCCTCCAAATGAAAGCCCTCATTGTAGGGCCTCACTGTATGCTTATAGCTTAGCTATTTGAACTGGAGTAAACCTATTCTAAGAAATTGCCTTCATGAATGAACAATTTTACATGTTGACAACAAATGACACTCTCTTAAAGAAGACTTGGAGTATATTGAGATGTGGAGACTGAGGATATAAATGACCTTCCAACTCCAGGCTTCACAATTGGAAATTGTAATGAATTATTAAGGTTAAGTTTGTTAAGGTTAACAGAGATATGACAACCCAGTAGTTTCTATCGGAGGAAGGAATCTTGTATTCTTCAACCTCTGCAACTTAGGGGCAAACCCAGACCCAACTACCTCGCCAGATAGTAGAATGCTTGATGTATATCACAATCTCACCATTAAGCTCCAATCTTATATAATAAACATAAAAGACCATCTGATCAGGAAGGATCAATACTCTAAGAAATTGTTCGATCAATCCTGCATTGCTGCCAAAACAGCACTACCTGGTTCTTACACTACCCTGCTTAAGGTCAGCTCTCCAGATTCCACTCAAATTCAAAAGGAGAAAAGGAAATAACCTCAAAAGATTATTGCTAAGGAAAAAAACCTCAAAAAGTTCAACAGAAAAAGTGGTCTCAATTAATTGAAGCCACAAGGTCCAAAAACGTCTTAGTCTGACATACCATAACAAACTGTTACAACAACAACAACCCACAACTCCATTGTAGCATTTACATCAAGTATCTGTGTACATCACTTCCAAGTTCTTTATTGAACTGGCATGCTAACACCTACCTGATATCACCATCCTCAATACCATTGCAATGGCCCCCAATCACATGCAACGAAGTAAAAAAAAAATACCATCAATCAGCTTAAGTGTGGTAAAGCTCCTGGGAGTGATTGTATTCCCTCCTGTGCTAATCAAATCCAACTCAAATTGGTGGGCTCCTCTATTTTCATACATCAACCACCCAGCCAAAATTCCAAAGGTCTTGGGGGGAAGCTCTAATAATCCCCGATACAAAAAGGGTGACAGAAATAACCCAGCCAATTATAGAATAATTAGCGTATTAAATATCATTAGCAAATTGTATTCCAAGTACTCCTCTATGGAGATTCTCAAGTCATCCAGGTCATGGTTGTCCCAAAGGTGCTTTTTTCAAGAGGTAACTGGACTCTCACTTTGGGACACTCTGAGCAGATCCTCCATAGGTAAAAGACTCCTGCTCCCAGTTCATTAATTATACAATAAAACTGGGCTTAGAGTATGTTCTGACTCAACCGGGTTCCAAGGGGGCAAACACAAAACAAAGGCAGCAGCCCCCACCTTTTAAGAATCCTGTTTCTTCACAGATAAAAGGCTGCTTCCAACTAATTAGCTCTGACAAGAAACAGCCTTGCCAAGTTGTTTGTCAAGGCTGCCAAAAACCCAGAGATAAGAACGAATTTACAAGATTTTTCAAATACTAACTATGATGTCCACGAGGCTGAGCTTCAGAGCGTCTTTGCCTTCTGCAAAAAATGCTTCTTGAAACCTGGCTTTGATCTTCTTGAGGGAGGGGCCATTACCTTGCAGCCTTACTCCCGAGTTGCCTGTGCTGCTGTAACTGCTCTCCTACGATCAATCCTGCACGCACACGTACTTGTCACAGGCTCCTCGGGAACTTCCTCATCACTGCTGCCAGCTCCCACAATCTCTGAAGGCAGCAGTCCACTCCCTAATGGTCCTGGCCCCTCATATGAGTCTTTGCTCTCCTCCACCGTCCGCACCTGCTGCCGGCTAACCACAACAGAGTAAGATGCAACTGGGAAGCAAACCTTTCCAACTCTACCGAATCCATCAAGGGGGTGAAACAAGGATGAATCCTTGCACCATTGCTTTTTAATATATACATCAATTCTCTGATCAAAATCCTCCACATGGTGGACATCCACGCTCCAAAACTAGCCAACAGACATCTCCCAATTTTACTTTATGCTGGTGATGCAGTTCTCCTCTCCTTGTCTTTTGTAGGCAGGAAGCGGGCACCGAGAACCCTGGCCTTCTACTGTAATGAGGAACAATAATCTATTACGACAAATCTAAAGTGCTAGTCTTTTCTAACAAAAGACAAAAATACAAATGGACAATTAATTCTCATAAAATGGAACAGGTTAAGTACTTGGACATAGTATTTCAGGCCTTGAGAAAATTAACAGCCCAGGTAAATTATGTGTCTTCTATTGCCCAAAAGAGTTCACAAACAATAATTGAATTTCATAGGTAACAAGGGGCAAATTATATCCCAGCAGCACTTAAATTGCTTACAGCAAAAATGGTTGCTCAACTGTTATATGGCATACAAATTGGGTCATAAACCTGAAGGTTTAGGAAGCAATTCAATCAGATTTTGTCAGGACCTTGTTTGATGCTTCAAAATGCAGCCCCAATGCAGAACTGATTTTGAAGCTAATGTATTAAGGCTTAGGCCTGAATAGGATCCTAATCTCAGGCCTTAAGGAACATATTGCCATATGTGGTAGACTTGTATAAAAGCTAAAAGATATTGGAATAAAATACACACGTGGTTGTAAAAAATTATTAAACAACATATAGATTTGAAGCCTGAAATATTTTTATTAGGAATGGTACCTGAAGGTTATAGTAAAGAAAAAAACATACTTGATTATACATGTATTAATAGCAGCTAGAATTGTATTTGCTCAAAATTGGAAAAGTGACAAGATAACTGATAGAGGAAAAAATAATTGAAAAAATATTTGAATGTGCAGAAATGAATAGATTAACATTAGAAATTGAAAAAGAAGAATCTGAATATTACATGGTATGGGACTTGTTTTATAAATGGCTAGAAAATAAAATTAAAAGGGATTAGATGCATTTATAAAGCAATAAGAAAAACTAGTGTAATAGATATATTGAACATTACTTATATATGGGAATATGATTATTATATTATACTGTTAAGAAGAATATTATTAGTAATTGTTAAGCACGTGAAATATGTACTTAATTGACACATGATTGAAATGGAATGGATTTATTGTATTTTAAAAATAAAAAAAAATTAATTAAAAAAAGAATCATGTTTGAGCCCACAGGCCTGATGCCAATCCCATTGGCATAGCAGAAAAATCTGCAGCCTTGGCCACTCTCTTGAGTATTTAGGCCAATTAACCTTGGAAAAGGCCAAATCAATAGTAAAAGAAAGAATGAGGCACAGTGATCAACAGAATATCACCAGTGCTCCTGAATACTACCGCCAATTGTTAGACAATCATAAGCCTTCCCTTTTGGGATACTTGTACAATTTAACACTAAACAAATATAATGGGCCTTTTCTAGAGTCCTTGTTGATGTTTTCCCATCAGTCTTACTAGAGGGAAGATTGCACCGGACCCTTTATTCACAGAGACTTTTGCCCCCATGGTTCTAAGGAGGTAGATACTCTTGCCCATGTCCTCATGTTGTGCCTCTTCTACAATGCCTCAAGAAGTGCTTTGATTGCACCAATCATTTCCAAATAACAAGGGCCATGCAGATGAAGTTTATGTTAATTAGCTTTTAAGGGTCACTAACCCTACATTTAACACATCAGGTGGCCAATTCTTTTTTTGCACACAACTGCGCAAAGAAATTGAATTAAACATGCTGTTTTATTGTCCCATATGTTTTCCTTCCCCTAAAAACTAATTGTTGTATTAAACTGTTCCTTTTTTACTGCAACTTTTATTTTTTATTTTTTATTATTATTAAATTGTGAAGGCTGGTCAAAGACTGTAATAAAGACATTTGATTTGAAGGAAAGGGGAAATAGAAATAATAACTTGAAAACAAAAATTAAAGAGTTAAACTAAGAAGAATAAAAGGAGTACTCAAGAAAAATAAAACTCCAAAAGTCTAGAGTTGTGCAAGTCAAATTAAAGATAAACAAGTTGCTGTAGATCATGGAAACAGAATACAAAAACAGAAAACAACTAGAAAAGTTTCTAATTCAGAGAGAAAAAAATGCAAATACAAGGAAAATCAAGAGAAGCAGACATTGCAGGACGAGTCGAATGCAGAGTTAGTTATAGGGACAAACAGGTAAGGCTCATCCCATTAGACACAGTCGGTAAATGTAGACTTAATAAATGTAATTCCACTGAATCTTCCTCTTTTCATAGCTATTCAATAAATATTGTGATTGAACAAAATACTTGGCATTTTCCAATTGATCACTACCAAACTGACCTTTATTAATTACCCCACATCCAGTAGTTTACATAGTTTAATTAAAAAATGTATATATTTTGTTCATCTGATCTTTAGAAGAAATTGATTTCTCAACAAAATATATAAATAAAATTGAGTGTCTGTTTTATAACTATATAAATGCCAGAGCAATCATGATTTTTGAAACTACAGCAATAGCTACCAGTAGTTTAAGTGATGAATAAAAAGGGTGTGTAAAATAAATTTTTGTTAGGGGTAACAACAGCTTCCAAAATTACACACTCAGTGAAATTTATAAAAACTACCAGAATTAATTAACATTGGAAATACAAAGAACTGAGAATCCATATATATCACAAATGGCGGATATTGAACATAATAACCCAGCTACGGATAATGAAAGAACACAGCTGGTGAAAAGGCAGAAGTAAATCTTCCAATAACCTATGTTATCAAAAGAAAGAGCTCTGGCAAAGCAATATACAGTAAACACTTAATGATTATGAAGGAAGTTATGTAAATGAACATAATCTATAGAGCAACCAGTGATTCACAGAGCATCACAAAATCCATTGCCAGCTCTGACGGAGAAGGCAATGAAGACAAATAATGCAGGAAATTACAAGTTACTGCAGAAGTGCACAATACAAGGCAACCAGAAATAGAATCAAACTTGAGATCCCTTAAAGAAGTGTAGGATGCAACATACAAGCTTACACCAAATATTCCTGGAATTAAAAATAATTATGTTTGCAAAGATATTCAATTTAAATTGTAAATGTAATAGAATATATGAAATGGCTAGAGAATGATTCAAACATTTCAAAACAACAACAAACAAACAAACAAAAAACCAAACATAAAACAAAGAACAGAGATTAACAGATATATCATATTCAAACACAATGGCAGGCGTCTTTGCAGGAGAATAAGGCAAAATAGTCATCCGTTTGAAATCCAAAAGGTGATTAATTAACAGAGCTTACAAAAAAACCTAACATGTCGACTTCTATAATGAAATGTCCATCCTGGAAAATTACTGGGCAAATGCATAGGTAGGATTTCTACCACCACCCCTTTTTCCCCTACAAGATTATATGATTTTTCCTCTTAAGAAATCTACTGGTAGTTGATAGGAAATAATCTGGTAGTTTTATTTAGCTACATGTGTTTTTATAAATAGGCCAAGAAGGGCCAAAAATATAAGGTGTGCTAAAGAGGGTTTAATGAGCTTAATTGCATTACATCTTGATATGAGAATAGAAGAAATAAATATTGGAAATTATTATAAAGATGAAATTCAAATGCTACAGCTGAAATCCAAAGGGAGAATGTTAATATGCATTAGTATTTATGTGCTACACAGACAAGGGGTAAATTGGAATAACCTGGGTCATTGATATGTTATGTGAACCTAGAAATGTAGATTTAATTATTTATGGGGATTTTAATGCTATAATCAGCCCAAGTTTGGAAATATTGAATTTAAGACTTTTTTTGAAATAGAGGCAATTTTCCTTCTGGGGCATGTGTCATAACGATATGATCCAGAATAAGCACAGACTACAATTACTTAATATATAAAGAATTTTTAGATAAATCCAACTGATTAAAAATGAAGAGTAGAACTAAAACAACCAAACTTAGAAGAAAACAAAAACATTTATTGTTATTCTGCTGCATATATGGAAATACTAATAGAAGAGTGTAAAACCCGAATATTTGCTTTAAAAAAAATATTTTTGTTCACCGATGTACATTTAATGAATATGTTCATCAAATAGAGAATGGAAAGTACATGTTCTTAATACTTAGAATTTGCTTTCCTATTTTGAGTAAGTAAGTGACTAAGTTCTGTTCTATAATTGAAATCTCATGATAGGGGATGAGTTAATTTTTTTTAAAATGAAAATAATAGCTTCATTTTATATTGTCACAAAAGATAGAATGGTTGATATTTCTTCGCACCTGACTGTTTTCTTTTCTGTGCTGCCTTTTTTTTCTCCACTATCTATTTCTGAATTTCCCTGCAACCTTTAATCATGTTCTCACCCCCTTTCCAAACTTTTCCTCCCTCAGGGGGAAAAAACGCACACAATGAAGTGTTCCCTTGTTCTGACAGTGCTGCTGTCCTTACTAGTGGCAAAGTTATGTTGTGGTTACTGCATTGAGTCTCTGGAGCAACAGATGCCCAGCGGAGTTCAAACAAAGGTGAGGTGAAATATTATTGAACATATAGTGTGGCAGTTTGGTAGAGAAAAACAGCAACAAATTCCTGTGCTCCATTTGCTTTAAATCTGCATATAAAATTGTACTGGTATATGTAGGGAGGGACTATAGAATGATACTTGTCTGCAGATGGAGAAATGACCACAATTAGGACTGGAATTTCTGTTGCTAAGCAAGGCAGTTGTTAAGTGAGTTAAGCCCAATTTTACAACTTTTTTTGCCATGGTGGTTAAGCAAATCACTGTAGGAGTTAAGTGAATGACATAATTGTTAAGCAAAGGCCATTCCCCGCATTGATTTTGCTTGTGGGAATCTGGCTGTGAAGGCTGCAAATGGTGACGCTGCAGCCATCATAAATACAGGCTGATTGCCAAGTGCCTGAATTTTGAACACATGTCCGTAGGGTGTGTGTGCTGTGACAGTTGTAAGTCCGATGACTGGTCATCAGTCATTTTCTTTCAGTGCTGTTGTAACTTTAAACACTCATGGTTCTAAGTGGAGGCCTGTAGAGCTGAGTGCTTCCTTGCTGCAGTGATGAACAGCTCTGTTATTGCTGTTCACTTACCGTTCCTGATGAAGCTACAGCAATGGATGATGAAAGGGCCTGCTAATATGTAAAGCAAAACACCTTGCAGCCAATAGTTTTCCCCTTCAAAAGGAAGAAAATGACCTGGAACTGGCCTAGTTATTTTCCTACCTTTGAATTTAGATGTGAAGCAGTTAATTAAAACAACTATTTTAATTAACTGCTGCCCAGTTAATTAACATTTAACAACTGCCCAACTGTTTCTACGTTCACATGATCGATTCTGGAGCAACAGGTACTATAGAGTTTGGACAGGCTTTTGATATTTCTCCTTAGTCTCTGAGTTTATTTTTTAAATATTTTTTTAAAAAAGAAAATTGATTGACAGAATTAAGCAATTGCCAATCTATTGTTCAGGAACAAGAGATGAAAAGTGGTTTAAATTCCCCTTTAATAAGTCTAGTTTCAATGTAATGATTTTATATGTACATAAAATCTTAGTAATGCCCTATAAAGCACCCTATTTGTGGCCTTTTTAGTTCTCCAAGATTATATTACTCAGCAACCCCCATAAATCTCCTCCCCCCCATGTCTCAAATTGTTGGTTTGGGGCTGATTTTGGCATCCTCCCCCCATTTTTAGATGTTTGTTCAAGATGTTGAGAAGGGAGTCTTGAGGAAGCAGAAAAATCTTTGGATCAATGGGACTTAAAACTATAGGAAATAGCACTGGCAGAAATTAACACAACAGCTAATTTCAAGTTAAGAACCTTGAAATTAAGAATCATTTTACTCACCTTTCATCTCCCCTCTTAATACTATTAACAAATAATTCCTAACCTCATTTTCTATATATATGCATGCCTTTTGAGGACAGAAAAACTGATTTTAGTTTCAAAAAAAGTCTGTTCATAGAAATCTACTCCCAAACAGCATTTTAAAAAAAATAAAAATACCTCTATAATTTTTCTGGGAGAGACCTTTTGATTTTTAAAAAAAGTTATGCTGCAGTATTGTTTAATTTCAACGTCCTTTTATTTAAATTAATATTTTAAAGTGCATTTAAGAAAATAAGATTACAGAATGCATTAAGCAGAAAGAAATGGCAACATGGCTGAATGCAAATGTGCAAAGCACCATGTGGCATAGCAAGTAAATCTGTTAGCTTTCAGAATGGACAGGATAAGAAGAGATAAAACAATTGCTTTTCTTGGGCACAGCTTGTATTTTTACTTCTTCTGTTCAATCTTGCCCGATTTTCAGAGATTGCCTGGACAAGTCCGTACAGTTTTCTTGACAAGGATTTCCAGAAATAGCTTACCATTACCTCCTTTCTAGAGCTGAGAGAAAGTGGCTGGCCCAAGGTCACCCAGCTGGCTTTGTGCTTGATTAGAACTCACAATCTCCCAGTTTCTAGCCTGATACCTTAATCTCTACACCAAACTGTTTCCTCATAGCCTTGTATATATCTGTACTACATGATGGGTTTGTTGTTGTGTCTATCCTGTTGTCCATCATTGACAAGATAGTTAATCTTCCTGTTTCTTATGTTTTTTGTTGTTGTTCATCTTGTACTAATTTAACTGAGATGTATTTAACACCAATGTGTTGATGCCACCAGGTAATAGAATATCTAAGTTTGCCTTCTCTCAGCTCGTCCTCAATTCATAGCTATATTTTAACTGCTGTACTTTTTAAATACAGGATTCTGGTCATACTCATCAATTTAATAAGGGGCTCCACTTGTTTCCTTTTGAACTTTTTCCACATATCATTGGAATGCTCTTCCCATATGACACTTCACCAAACTACAGAAATAGCTCATCAAACAGAAATTGGAGCCTCTTTTTCTAGGATGTCTTGATATTTATTTTAGCAATGGGATTTTTTAAAAAATGTGCCTCTTCCCATCCTGCAAAAACTGTGATAGAGTCCACTGAAATTTCTGCTGTCTATGGATAGTCCTCAACTTATGACCACAATTGAGCCCAAAATTGCTGTTGCTAAGTGAGACAGGCTGTTAGGTTAGTTTAGCCCCCATTTTATGATCTTTCTTGCCACAAATATTAAATGAATCATTGCAGTTGTTAAGTCAGTAACATAGTTGTTAAGTGAATCTGGCTTCACCATTGACTTTGCTTGTCAGAAGGTCGCAAAAGGGGAGACTTCCGGTTTGAAAGACTTCAGCGACAGACAGGAATCCACGATCGTGCGTGGTTTCTGCCTGGGCTCGCCGCTGAAGCGCCCTGAGCTGGCTGGTTTCGGGGCTAAGCCACACCGTAGAGGTGGTGAAGAAGGGAGAGACTGCCAGCAGGGTCAAGGAGAGCCACATCTCTCTTCCTCAGCTGGTCAAACTCCCTTTCCCGAAGGCGGTAGGAGCGGTGGTCAGTAATGGTCACCTCAAACAAGTACTCAACCGGAAAAGAACGTGCAGGAGGAAGATAAGAAGTGAAAGTTTTGGCTGACCGGGCTAAGTTGAAAAAGCAATAACTAAGGTACCCTGGAATTTAAATTCTACAAAAAATAACATTGCTCCCAAAGAAGAGTCGGAAGCAGCGAAAGAAAGTGAAAAGGGAAAGGTTTGACTTTTTTTCTTCTTCTCTCTCCTTCCTAATATTGACAGTTAAGAATAAGAAATTGGAAAAATCCGCTTTGGCATCAATAGTCAATTAAGCTGAAAATATCTAAATGCCAAAGGGACAATAAAGATTTCTGGACATTAAAAACTTTTTTTTCTATAAGCAGGAAGGGAAAGAAAAAGAATAAGGGCAGGATCTGGAAGAGGGAGGAGACTGCCTGGACTTTAAAAGAATCTAAAGTAAAATTTCAATAAGACTTCTAAAAGATACATTTTAACTGAAACTTTGCAACTAAATAGTAACCCCAGGAAGAGAAAGTGTGAAAAAAAGGAGCAAAAAGAAACAGTTTGTGTGTATTTGGATTACTTGGTGACTTTTGGATTTTTGGCTATTATATTTGAATGACTAAAATCAGGTGGTTGTTTAAAAATTTCTACAATGGCATTACTTTTGGATGAATTGAAAATGGAACCTAAAAAGTACAAAGAAGATGCACAAGAAGGGAAGGATTCTTTTGGCTTCGTTTTTCAATTCTTAGAAATGGAGATTTGGAACTATGAGAAACAACAAGAAAAGACTGCAAAACAAGAAGACTGATACAAAGAAGAAGCCATCTTTAATGAACAAGTAACCCTATGTGCGGAAGAAAAAGGAAAGGGGGGAAAGAGGATGGAGAATTTAAGACTTAAAAAAAACAACCAAAGAAAAGAAAAATAATTCGAAAAATAAGGATAATACTGGAAAGCAACAGAAAAGGGGAATACAGAAAAGGGAAGTCGAGGTAGAGAGACAAAGGGGTAAAAAGGGGAGGGAGAAGAAGAGAGGGAAGAAGGAAAGGAAAAGAAGTTACAAAGGTCTGGAGCAAGATATAAAGAAACAGGAACTATTTAGAGACAATGGGTAAAAATTTAACTGAAAGGGGGATTCTGTAAAAGTACATGAGATTGTGTTGTTATGTTTGAAATAGAAATAACTTTAGAAAATTGGAAACAACATATGATTAGAATGAGGGATAAAATGGTTAGTGTAATTTATTGAAATGTTTGTGAATAAAGTAAATGAAATAAAATAAATGAGAAAATTGAATTAGGAAGGAATGGGAACACTTTAATTAGTCAATGTTTTATAAAATATAAGTGAAGAGGGGGGGAATTGATTATGGAAAGTTTATAATTGTTCCCATAGAAGTATGATATTTAATTGAAAAGTAACGTGAAAAATCTTAAGACTTTAATGAATATTAATATTAATGATAGAATTGAATTGGAATAGAATGTTGTTTTAACTATATACATTTATAAATTTTTCTTTTTTTTTCTTTAAGAATACAGTGTGTAGTTTAAGAATGTACCAAACAGAATCTGAATGCAAGCTATGTATTATATTGAGTGTTATAACTTTAGGGGAAAGATATAAAGGCGTCATACTCCAATCAGTAACTACAGGAGAAATTTTGTTTAATGAGAAAAGATAATAGACAATTGAAACAGGACAGACAAAAAATATAAATATAATGATTTGAATTGAGATGAAATAAATACAATAAAATTGAGGAAATTAAAAGAGGGGAGAAGCTATGTAGAAAATGTAAAATTGTAATAAGATATGGAATAGAATATAAAAATGAGCATGAACCTGAAATTGTGCCTGCACGAAGAAATGTACCCGGGATTATGCTGCTTTCAAAAAAGATGTTTTAATTGTGTTTCTTTTCTTTTTGTGAAAACTCAAATAAAATTTACAAAAAAAAAAAAAAAAGAAGGTCGCAAAAGGGGATGATGTGATCGCAGAACATACCAACCATCATAAATACATGACAGTTGCCAAGCATCCAAATTTTGATCACATGACCATGGGGATGCTGCAACGGTTGTAAGTGCAAAAAATGGTTGTAAGTCATCTTTTTCAGGGCCATTGTAACTTCAAAAGGTCACTAAATAGATTGTTACAAGTCAAGGATTACCTATACTACATTCTACAACATTCACAGATCACATTTAAGTCCTGCCATGCATTTATATTGAATTCAGTACTTCCGGACAGAATAAGTTAAAACTCACATCATCTTTCTGTGTTCCAAATCCACAGAAGAGACTGTCATCTTGTAAGTGGGCCAGAATTTAATCTGATACAAAAGAAACATTCATTCATAGGTATAAAAAGAGAAAGTTCAATAGAGGATGAGGTACAATTTCCCCCTTCCTCCCATTTCTGTTAAAAAAAGGGGGGCTTTATGCAGTGTAAATTGCTTCTGGGGGGCAAGGCCTGCAAGAAGTCTTTAAGTAGCTCCTTTTGTCAAATCCCTCCTGAATTAGATCCGTTGAGGATAAAAAGCTTTGAGAAATCCAATTCTGTCCTCAGCCATCATAATATCTTCTTGTTACTTCTGTGCAGTCCAAAATAGGACTCAAATTACCATAGCTTTACCACTCTTAACAAAGCAATTCCATATTTTTGGAAATTTGTTCTTGAAATTTGGACACACTTTGCTCTGTCCCCTCCCTCAAATTGCTTTACTTAACTGCAGCAGCCACCCCCAAATTAAAGTAGCTTTCTCTCTCTTTTCTTCTTCTAGGCTGATTAACATATTGTATAAGGAGAGGTAATTGGCAGCTTTTTAAGTAAAAAAAATCTGCTCTTACCTGGAATTAGAATGGAATTGGCATTGGAAGGGAGAGATTTCATTAGGGTTTGGAAGCGTTACTTGTTTAGCTAGCATTGTCGGTATATTAATAGCTACTTCTCATAAAGGGACAGTCAAAGACAGATGAAGAATCTTAATAATCACATGAAGATTTTGAGGTCCGGAATGTGAGAAGGGGGTTTAGCTCTGGGAATTGGTGTATTGGGGAATTGGGAATATTAGGTGAGGAGAACAAGTGAGGAGCCAAAACCTATGACAGCTGTGGCCATTGGAAAGGGAGTTTTCTGCCAGAAATAAAAGAGAAATCCTTTGATACAATTCTTATTAAGCCAGGGATAAGTTGGTCAATTGCAGAGTTTTGCATTCTCTATGTTGACTAATTGATTGGTGATCAATCCACTTAGAAATTTTAAAAATGGCTGTGGAAGCCTGGGTTTTGGTCTTCCTCTAAAGGGTAGGAGAAGTTGTGCTGGTTGTACTGAGACTGACAAAATCATCAGGACCCACAGTTCCCCACAAGGAACATTTCAGGTTAAACCCCCCTCCACCCCCATTTATGTCAACATATTGTCCCTTACCTCACAGAGCATCTGGAAGTGGGATAGAGAAAAACTTTCAGAGCTGTGGGTGGACAATAAGTTACAAGAAGTAAGTGAAGTCCTCTGGAAATGTCTAGCAGATTGTCTTTGTCCTGGGACAAGGAAATTGTTATGGTTTATCCTGAGTGGTTAGATCTTCAGTTCATTGTACTTGTGTGGAATTTGATTTTTGTAGCACCCGCTGTCAACCCTACTAAGGAGACTAGGCCGGAACGGAAAATCATCTCCACGGGAAGGCTAAAACTACTTTTACTGAAATTGGCTATAATAACAGAATATTACAGGCCTGATAGTGCTGTACCTTCTCCTCCTTATTGTTCAGTGGATTAGAGAGGCTTCTGCCTGAACTCCTTCTAAATGTTAACTCTTTGTCCTAGACTTGGGGAAAAAAATGCTTCAACACTTTTTGTCAAGGTAGTGGCTCCTGCATATCCCCATCAAGGTTAGTTACTTGACTCATTTTACCTGTTGACAAATCTCATAGCTTTTCTTGCTACTTCTCATTCTGAAACATTTTCCCCATAGTTCAACAGATGGCTCTCTAGGATGTGAGATAACAGTAAGGTCTTTAAAATGACAATGGCAGTGATTTATCGCTATGGGGATTCTGGCTCTTTTGAGGAAACAGAATTGTCATCTTCTAATCCAAGACTTTCTCCAAAATGGATGCCTTCTAAGAGTGTTGTACTAAATATCCTACATCCCCAACTTTTTGTTGGTTGGTGGTGATGAAGTCTGAGGAAGTTCAAGTGTAGGGAAGACCATATTTCCTTGGGGACTTGAACTGTGCAAACAAAATACCATTTCTCATCTAGTATCCAAAATCCATAGTGGATAGTATTTTGAGGCTCAATCAAAGCTTGTACAAGGTATATACTGTAAGACGTGACAGAACATAGGGAATGAGGTAGAAGCTCAAGATCAAATCAATAAATCTTTATGGGAGATGTGATGGTATCATTTTATATCTTTCCTTAAGGGATAAGAAATAGTGTATGCAGAAAATTTGAATGCTGGAAAAGTATGGGGGATACGCTGGGGAGAAGCATATTTATTTAAGGAAATGTATAGGGCCGCTAAACTCATTCTCAGTAAATACCCCTTCCCCCAACAATCAAATGAGTCATTTGATGGGCTCCATCCCACTCCGCAGTCCTCAGGCCTGTTGGCAAAACCAGATCCTTTAGGACCTTATGAAAGAATTTATCTCTGTGGGGATGATGCTTCTCAGACAGAGAGCCACCATGGAGAAGGCCATTCTTTTTTGTCCTCCTCAGGAGAGGAGACTTTCTTGCCAACCCAACCTCTGGTGAGTTGGGTAGATGTGACTGGGAAAAGATAGTCTTTCAAATAACCTGGACCTAAGCCACGTAGGGCTTCGATGTTGACAACCAGCAATTTGAACTTGACAATTTGAAGACAAGAATCTGATAATTGCCTGGAATGAGGATGGGGTTGTTTGTTTAGCAACTACATATTGGATTAAAGAAGTTTACTATATACTTATTTTACTGAACAAATGAAGCAAGATAGCATTTAAAATTTGTTGGTTTTGCCCTTCATTGGATTGAGCTTCAAATAATTAATCTAGAGGAGCTGAGAGGTTGTAGTAGGCATTTTCAACTATTATTTTGCTACTTGTGTTTTACAGATTATGAGGAATTATTCTTTGAAAATACTTACATATTGAAAAGGGATGTGCCTGCATAAGAGATAGGGTCAAGATGGAAATTGAATGTTGAGGACAGGGGAAATATTAGCTTATGTATTGCTGTATCAACATTGATTATTGATGTCATGTTGTTTTTCCATTTCAACAGAAGAACCCAGAACTCTATAAGCTGCCACTATCCTTGCTCCGACGATTGTATGGTGGCCAAGGGATATCCTATGAGGCACTGCTCAGGCTGTCAGGCAAAGAAGAAATCAGTAAGTAATCACTAAGAAAACAGCCCCAAAACAATTCAAGAACATTTGATAAGTTGAAAGGTTTTCATCTATGTTTTAAGATTAAGTCAGCCTTATAAATAGCATGTAATATTCAGCAATAAGATAGCCTGAGTATGTTGTTGAATGGAATATGAGTATTCCCTTCATACCCTCAGATTACATGAGGGAGAAATTTTCAATGAAACCCAAAAACATACAACTAGGTGTTCAACAAGTCATAATAGAAACAGGTATGAATGAACAGGTATGGTATGAATTTTCTTTGAGGTGAGAAAAGTAAAAATGACTGTATCTTTATATGGTTGTATGCGCAATAAGTTTGTAATAATTACAAATTATTAAATTATAAATTGAATTATTAAAAAATCCATATTAGATTTTGATGATTGGAGGAGGCATGTTTTTTTTTTGAAACAGAAAACATGAACATAGTGATATATTTTCATGATAACTTTCAGTGCATATCTATGTTCCATTTTACATTAAAATGGGATCTGCAAATGCATATGGTTGTGGTGCATTTTAGCCTTTGGCTTTGTTTCTTTTTCCAGATCCCCAGACCCTTGCTTCTTCCCAGAAACGTAAGTTGATCAACTGATCTCTGCAATAAGCACTGCTTTCTCTATTATTGTTTCTGACTGAATAAACTTTAGTAGTGAAGGTCCAATACTGGAAAGAAGGATAAGATGGAAGGATAACTTCAGCCGTGTGGTAAGGAGAAGGTACCATTTGAATTGAAGAGAAAATAAGTTTGGCACTATTTTAAACGCACTCCTCCTCTTTCAAAACAAACCAGCTTTGTGCTGCCTCCAGCCAGCTCTGAGTTTAGGGATTTTCTGTTTTACCTGTTTCCCTTTTACGTTTAGTATTTACCGTTGTTGTTCACTGAATTTAGGATTTCCAACCACAATACAGTTTGAGTGAAGACTTCAAGTCTTAGAAAGACAGATGCAAGAATACTTTCTAACTCTTAGCCAGGTCCAATGGAGGATAATGTAGAGAATAAGATATAGTATTGAAAAAAAGAAAACATTAAGACTGCAAAGTAAATCTTCAGTTCAGTGGGATTTTTAGATCATTAAATACACTTCAGATTTTCCAGTATACAAAAGAGACTAGTCTGCACAACAAAATCCATTTTTGCCAGATGTTTTTGTATGTGTATGTCAGAATTTAATATATACATACAAAAATGCATATCTTAACAAAAATAATTACATATAATAATATC